TGGTATATTAACAAGTATTCAAAATTACGAAACATTCATTCAAAGATACGAATCCATTCTATAAAAGTATATAGAATTCAATTGAAGTTATTTTTGTTTATTTTGAAGGAAATTATAATAAGTGTCTATTTAAGCTTCAATCAGTAGACCATATTTCAAACCGATATGAGTCAAGTTTTGTGTAGCTGATACACGCAGCACAGCTAGTGCAACAGCAATAATAGTAACTGCACCTTCTAGATAAAGTCCGTACAATATTCGTACGTAACCGAGTATTGTTGATAAACCACCAGCGGCAGTAAAATCTAGAGGGAAGAGAATACTTGCTGCAAATGGCCTAGATCGAGCCACTCCAAAGCATAGAATTCCCATTAGGTAGTAAGTGGCTGGAAAACAAATATGGAGTAAATTTAAGTGCACGACTTTTCTTACGAGCCACTGTTTATGGGTTTTACATATGTGTATTTCTACTATGCACAGTTACACATACATATATGTATATCACATCAATGTGATGTTAAAATGATGTAAGCTATATACACACCGATAAAAGGCGAGTACATTAATCAAACGGAAAATAACATTGAGCTATTTATCAATGACGATTTGAAGATCATTCAAAAGTAAAACGGAAGCGTATCAACGGAGGAACTTTTAGTTATCTAAAAAATCCATTATCCAGCAAATATGTAAGAATTTGCTGGAAGAGAATTCAAAAACGTATGATTCAGGTGCAAGAGTAGGACCCATTACTGTATTCAGGGATAGTGCGGACGCGAGGGGCGCTCCTATAACGCCGGCAAATGGAAACACTTGTACTCAAGTGTACGTCCCGCCAGGCGTCCTACTGTTCCTCATCTCGCCAACATGTGCCCGCCGATTGGCTCTTCGTTTCTCCCACTTTCCCTTCCTGGCAGGGAATAGCATAGCGTCACTGATTCTAAGCAGTCTAATAAGAAGCCTGGAGGGTGGGCGTTCTAATAGGACGGTGTCCCGTTAATTTTCGACACTTTGCCTTCCCTGTCTCACTTATATGTGGGCCGTCAGGCGGCCCATCGCTTTTTCCACTCTTCTCGCTGGGACTGCAACGGGTACCCGTGCAGAACTGATCCTCTACGTAAGGCGTGATGTGGTGCGTTTTAGGAACCGCATCGCGTAGTAGAAAAGAACTACAACCACCCGGTAGTCCGGCCAGATAGTCCCGGCGAGAAAGGTGGGAAGAAGCGAAGGATTGCCTGATGGGCACGTGAAGACGAGACACGGAGAAAGGCAAGTGATTCGTATTGGCACCGCTGTGCGCTACTCAGGATTTTAAAAAAATGCCAAATAAAATTATCCCTTATGTAGGAGGTTTGCCATTTTGTAACAAATACTAACTATTTTAGAAATCGACATGAAATTCGTCAGTTCACGATGAAACAGAAAATACAATAATAATTGACAAATTTATTCTCAGCTTGACAATTATTATAAATTGTAGAAAAACGAAACATCTTTGTCTAAAAATATCCATGTCCAAAAACATTGAAACACTGCAGCGATCGACTATCCGTTACATATAAGTCCTAGAAAAATGTTCGGATAGACAAAATAATGTTAGCGGGTGCAGTGCGAAAATGATTTTAAAGCATCGGTCCGAGAGCATCAGTCGATGACTGGACTGGGCGGTGATGTTCTCCTGATCGTCGATGACTACAGGGCACACGAGTTACCATCCGAGCTTTTAGGGGTTGCCGCGTTTAATGTTTTTCATTCTACCGTCAATCGTGACGTCGCATATGCGACATGTAGATGCTATCTACCTACACGATTGAACGAACAAAAGAATGTTCCATTACCAACTACTGCAGAGTCGAGTTTCTGCGTTGAAGCTGTTTAGTTTTATATCGATTATGATATTAAAGATTGCGTTGATCTTTCTCACGAAACGTGGATGGAGATCTGGCCGAAGTAATTGATTCGAAAGAGTTCGGAGATTATACTCTGTGGGAGACTATTGAGATGATAATAGTGCATAGATCGAGAAAAACGTTGAAGATATTAGGGAGAGTGAGAGTCAAGAAGATGGTTTTGTATTTTTTCTTTCGAATAATTCGACTAAGGTTCTTTTTACTCTCCACTTATTCTAGGAAGTTAAACGAAGAAACGTATCTTTCAGCTATAGTCAAACGGCGGAGACAAATTCAGCTGTTAGAATCTTAGACCACATGGTCTAGGGTTGAACTTATAAAGCAGTGAATTAATACTGCAACAGTTCCTTATTCTCTGTCTATACCGTGGACTACTCGTGGATTGTACGTAGCAGTTTTTCTCTACATTTCATACTTTGGTACTTTGGACTCTCTGCGATAACATCAATTCAATGTTTACAATATAAGTCCATTCTTAAAAGTGTTTCTACCAGTTCGGGTCAGTATAAATAGTATGTATTATTAAACTTGTTGTGATAGGAGTTGTCTGCAGATATGTATATTCCGCGACAAAAATAACTGTATAATTTGAAGCAGTGGTCATGTATGTTTCCTAGACTAAGATATTGATCGTATTTTGTGAGTCTAGTAGTAAAGACCGTATCGTACGAAATCATCATGGAGTGTATGCGGATTACGAATCCATCAACCTTCCTATACATTTCTAGGTCGACTATGTTGCGTAACGATCAAGGTTCTCATATTTGACGGCATCCGGATGTTTGTGCTTGTCGGGCGATTTGAACGTAAAAAATTTTACTATAATGTTAACAAAAAGAGTCGTTCTTTACTGCGTGTTTAGTTATAAATAAAACATCGCTCATTTTTTCGCAGTCGTTAAAAACCTTTGCAAACTTTGCAAACGTAAACACAATCTAATTTGTTTTTAGTTTCTTATATGTTTAAGCGAAAAGGGAAGAAATATCATTGTTCAAATTATTTTTCGTTTAACGGTGCTCGTTGTTGGTGGGCGTTCTCTGATCAACTGATAACTGCGACTTTTGAAACTGTCGAACTCGTAACTTGGACTTACATTTAGATTTATGACACACGTGACCTAATGGTATACAATAGTACGTTACACCATAGTATTGTAGCAGGAATTATCAAATGTCACATTCGAACGAGATATTTTCGTTCTCCACCCAAAGTTGCAAATATCTTTACAAATAGAACTTCTTTGTGCACACCGTGTTTGGTAATTCTTAATTAATAAACGTGTCTAAACCATAAATTTGATGGTACGATAAAATAATTACCTATGCAAACGAAAGGGAATATTTTAACCCATCTTGGTACCGGCAACAAATATTTCAGCTCTTCTTCATCGTATCTTGCCTTCTCTCTAGATATGGCATATCTTTGCAATCGTAATGCTAGTATAAGACCAATATTCATGACTAAGAGGAAATGTGCAGGTGTTCCGATTGCCGCGAAAATAACAGTTATTGTTCTGCCAGACGTAGTACGTGGAACTGGGGCACCGAAACCTATAGATTAATGAAATTAAATGAATTTGTTGAGTTATTCGCGATATGGAAGGGATAGAAGTTGATTACCTAAAGTAGTGAGGAGTGAGATAGAAAAAAGTATACAGCCAGGAAACGTCCAAAGTTGCCCGCTATTTCCATTTTCGCCATATCCGGCGTTAACAGCCATCAGTAGGACCTTTTCGTGTTTCAGTACGTACTGATTTATTCTACTGGCCCAAAGGGGTTCTAGGTCCTCTTCATTCTCGGTACGCAGCTGTCTCAGCTCTGTTGCTAAACCAACTGCTATTTCTCTTTGCATATTCTTTAATTTGATAACTTGTTCACGCTCCCGTGGCCCTTCGATCGCGCAAAAGGCAGCTGCACCCACGACAGCCCAAATGGAGAGCAGCCAGGTCAACCCTATAGCAAATTGTATTTAACAGAAGGTGCTATAATTGCTAATTCAATGGATGAAAGGATTAAAAAGCTGGTGTTTACCGAACAAAGAGAGCGACAATCTTCCTAAAAATCTAATGTGCTTCCATATTTTTAAAGATTTTTTCGTTGGATTCCTCGAGTCTTCTTCAACAATGTCCTTGACGGACGGGAACGCCCGCAATCGTAATGGTAGACCAACTATAGTTTGAACGGCTATCGATGATACTGATTTCTTAAATTCTACTGATGATTTATGCTGCGACGAGAGTTCTTCCGAAACTGTCGTCGGCGAATCTAGAAGCAACAAATTAAATTATTAACCTACCATGGAGGAGAATCTGTCATTCTTTCTTTAATTAGGAATATTCTGTTTGCCCCATAAATAAACACAGAACAATATTAGATATTCAAAGAAGTACTCTTATCCTCGGCATTGCTTCTTTGATATTGAAATATATTCTAATGAAAAGAAGATCGAGAAAGGTTTTTTTCCAATTAGGATATTGCTAGTACTGTTCGTTGTTTTACTCATGTTTTCTTTTTTCAATCATTGTAATTGCGTTATCGACTAAAGTCTCGAGCTACTATACGCGCTAGCTATTACTTTATGCATGCGCAGCTATGTTTCAAAAGTGGTAAACGTAGTCTCGATCATATCGATTTCCAAGCTACGTACATTTTATCAATACTCACTACCGTTATAATTTTCTATTGTTATTATTTCTCTATTTTCTATTTACTATTTATTTACTGTCACTTGCTGTCATTTTCTTTCCTGATCCTTGAAAGAAAATCTGCTCTACAGAGTAAGCAAGTCCATTGGCAAGCCACATACTCTATTTAGAAACAATCAGATCGTGCTGATGTAGCATTTTCTATGTTTAACCTGTTAGAAAAAATCAAGCGACTCACTGGCTGTTAAACGGCTCTCCGTACGATCATCTATTTCCTCAATGTAAAAAGGAATTGTCAGTTTTGGTGAAAATGGCGTAAGTCAGGCATGGACGAGTCGCGGTCCGTGGGCCAAATCTGACCCATAGCTCGCCTCTCAGGCAGGTCACGCGACACGAGAAACGATATGACATTGTTTCTTCTGTGCTCTATGCGAGGCTGTCCATGCATGTGTAGCAATATGTATGGAGTAGTATAGTGGAGCTTGCGGTCAAAATGACTCATCCATGTTTGACATAAGGTGATTGATTCAATGGTAAGAAGATGGGTCAGAAATTTTAACCAGAGACAGTCGATTAACAGGAGATTCATAATTTCGCCACTTTCTCCTCATTTCTTAAAATTCTCTTAAGATTTTAGTCAAATTCGAAGTTTATTCTATTCCACAACGCAGAGGTACGTCGCTGCGACAAGTGCCTCAAAAATAGGGGAATAAAAGCAAATTGTATTCCTTTTATACAATTGGAGCTGACTTTTCTGGACACGTCTCGTACACAAGACTTTGCGTACTGGATACTAGATCCACCAGATGGGTAAGAATAACTGATTTTTTTATTTTGCTACTGAAACTACCACCTGCTACTAAAACATTCATTTGTCTCCGCGTATATTACTGTCTCCAAAACAGTTCTAAAACCAGACAAATGGCGCAGTGAAATCACTGAAAACCTTAATTTCGGTACTTCTAGTGTCAAGTAACAGGTGATTGAACAGAAATCGATGCTCATACCGATCACGCAAACAACATCGTTATCGTCGTCATCGTTCCGTTGCCGTTCCGTCATCGTGATACGAAATTCGGTGACGCGGCGACGGAATTGGTCCTTCGGCTTGGGGTGAACCAGGTTATTACGAGTTGAACGTTGTATCCTGCGAACCCTGGTAACCCTACGTCCTTTCGGCACATGTCGCCCACGAGGACACGTGAGCGTGGCCAACGGAACACGTGTCAACTTCGCAACATCTACCACGTCACTAAGGGGCGACGGTGCACCCTTGAGGCTTGGTGGCGCTGGGAAAAGAGGTACGTCCATCGACGACGGTCAAGTTGACTTCAACTACAAATTACAATACAATCATATATGGTAACTTTTCTTGGGAACACCGAGCCACCCCCGATTTCGATTATTTCTGAAACCTCCTGCGTTCGTCAGCCCGACACTCAATTTAGACTTCTCTACTTATTATTTAACCTTTAACCACTCACACCTGTTATTTATTTCACAATTGGATTGATTAGCATTTCTTCGTCGTTAACACTAAACCTACCAAGCAGTAATACTAACTGGCATGTACAGTTTCACAAAAGTGAGAAGACCGAATTTATTTAGAATTTGTAAAGTTTTTATTATAAAACTTCCTCCAATAATATAACTTATTCAAACGTTTCCCACGAAAGAGTCTTGGAACTTTGCAGAATTGCAAAATAAGAAAGCGGTCACTTTGACCGCGGTAGATTTAGTGTTAATAATATCCCTGATAGAACGAAACAATATTTTTTTTTGCGTGTCTTCATTTACTGTTATTTCTAGACCTTGATATAACAGAACAATTCAATTTTGCAAGCACTGCGTTTTTATTCTATTTTTTGACGAATTTTATTGGAGCATATATTGTAACAAGTTGTACGAAGTTTGTCATTGCTGTAAAACATTGATCACGTTGGAGGTTCTAGTGCTATTGTTAACTGCTTGCACTAATTGTAAGATCTCTTTCACAGCTACGTCGATTAGCATTTGTTTGTCATTAATCTACACAAGAAAGAAAATATTCATTGTCTGTCTATGTAACTGTCGAGGTTATTTGAAAGGAAAGATTGAATTTTATTTACTTTTAAAAGAAATGATTAACATCCACATTTATAATAGATTATGTTCGAAATCTGCATCGAATGTTTGTAAATGTATACATCCCTGTTAAACACCTTAAGAAATATTTCGGAAGTACGTACCTCGCTATTCATTTTTCAGTCTCGATGAGCGTAGCTATTGAATTATTACACTAAATTGTGGATATCCGAAAAACAGGATTCGCGTTCACAATTTCACATCAAGTTCCATCGTACTGTTAATTGCTAAAATAGCAAATGTTTAATTTAGTTGTGCTGCAATCAATTTTGGATCCTACATGTTTTTTACCATTTGATCTCTAACAAACGATTATATGAATATCAATTGTACGATTAACGATGTAGAAAAATAAATTCTTTTCGATGTGTCTTTCACTGTGTATAATTGAAATTGAGACCCGCGGTGTGTCCCAATACAAACAAGAAACACGTTGCCAATCTATTTTAAATATCGTTTAAAGAGTGCCAACTATGACGCGTAGCATAATTAGTCAATCTCGGTGTTGTATCGATACATGTATCTAAAGTGGACACTTAGCATAAAAAGATAAACCTCATGTACATATTCATATACCTTCGAACAGTAGCTACGTATCATCAATTTACAAACCGTTATCTGTATATTTTAATTCGTTATAACAATTGTACTTGTAAATTCAATTTACATACAAATAAGAATCTTGGAATGCTTCGAAACCATCGGTCTGAAATCATACTCTGACTCATGGCAAGCTAGATACACGCTTTCGTACGGAACAGAAAACTAATCTAACTTCTGTATCATACTTGAGGGATACCTATCATGGGAAATTCAAGAACATCGTATGTAGGTCAACCGTAAATCGTTTAATACGCCCAACATTCAGAATTCCGGCAGCGTCGATCCGGATGAAATATTCCAATTACAAGTCTAATTTAAGTTACGGTCGTTTATAAATTTCTAACATCCTCGCACCTATAAACTGTGGTAACTCGTAAAATTGAATGATAAATCTACGTGTCTGTAAATTCGTATTTAAAATCGCGAGTTTTGCACGAGCAGACCACAGCCAAATTATCAGCATATAAATCAGATTAGAGAACATCTGGTCGAATTGAATTGAACGCGCATAAACTGGAATAAGAAATGATCGAAACAAAGAAACGAAACAAATAGGTTGCCCGCGGCAAAAAGCAAAAAAAAAAAAATATCAAATTGTAAGCCGAAGTAGCACCGGTTACGAAACTTCCTGCGAACGTAGCGCACGAGACTTAGCAACAAACTCAGATGTTTGCTGTTTCTGCTAGTATCCGTTTACATAACGTTATACGTTCGCGGTATGAAAATTAACAGCTTTTCCTGAGAAATGAACGGCACTAACATTTTTAGAGCCCCGCGATCTCTAACGACGAACATTCGAGTTGCGAAATCGGGAAACCGATAAGATTTTGGTCAAGGGTCACGAACAATGTGCGAATCGGAGGACGCCGCGCCGTTTACCCGTCGCCTTTTCCTCTGCGAACGATCGTTGAACCGTACGTCGTACTTTGACATAACCTCTGTTGCACGAATCGGGAGATAACATTTGTTCCCACGTATAGTACGACACTTTTTTTCACACAGCGATGATTTTTTCGCGGCGCCAAACACTGCGCGCAACTGTGAGAACGATTTGCACGCCGGCCACAAAGTGGAACGGAGAACCGAACCGTATATCCGCGGCTCGTGAAACAGAATATCCAGAGCCCGTGCTTGCTCTTCGATCAATTTGGAAACTACCGGGTCTATAGAATTGAATTTTAATAGATTTGGCGCGTTGCAGTCGCGGCGTGAGTCGCGTTGGCGCAAACGGGCATCCCATCACACCGTTGCGATACACTAAAATTAGAATGCAGCCTTGGGATTATAAAGGCTTTAAACGGCATTTCTGGTGTTTATTATAAATTGAAAGCTGCTCGTACACTTCGATCAAACCTGTATCCATCGCGTGTGCATCTAACATACTAGCGTGTGCACCATGTGTCACACGAATGACGCGATTGCGAATTCGGAGATCCGCCCTCGGTCTTCCCAAAATGGTTTCTAAGCCTCGAACTGGAATTTAGTAATTAAAAGAAAATACTGTTATATTCAATAATTGATATCATAGGACGTCACTTATGATGTTGCCCGTGGGATAGTTTGTAGATATTTACGAAGATAATGCTCACCTAATAAATGTATCAATAGTAATAAAGACTCCACGGGTTCTCAGTAATTTGGTTGTTTCTTTTGAGATTATTATTTAACGTTCATCACACACATCCATTTTCTGTCGAGGTATAATCTTTGTCACGAAAATGAGCAGGAAGTTGGAATGTTTTTACAATTATGTATTTCGAGGTATATTTAGCACAATTCTCGAACAGTATTAATGCAAATGGAGCTCGTTACAATGCATCAAGTCGTAAACCTCTTTATGACGCACCTACTTAGTCGTAAACCTCTTTGCAATGTATTTGGTCGTAAACGCCTTTACGAATAAACGGTCACGTCTTAATTAATTAGACTAGACGATCCTTCTTCGCCTGTCTATTACGGTCGCAGTAGTAGAATATCGAATGATTTCCGGTAGTCAAGTGTTGAAATAATTAATATGAAAGATTCAATTTAGAATCTAATCGCTATTACAATTCCAGTCACGTGAATCTGAAACGAGTCGACGATTATCGTGCAAGCATGTTTTTCGTCAGTGGCCATGTGAACGATAAATGTGCTAGGCAAGAAAATATGATAAAGAATGTGTTTACAAATATGTACACGTATGTACGGTGTGCATCGAAATATCAAAAAAAAATTAGTTGCCTATTCATACAGTGACACAAAACTCGCCGCACGATCGTTAAGGAAACTACTTATTGCACTGAAATGACGTCTTAATAAGACGATAACATGTTTTTATATTTCTTATACTTGACTCTTATGCAAATAGCAGAAGAATGAGGATGGAACTTTCGATTATTCTTTTGCTCCAAACGCATACATAAATAAATTAAATAAATGAATGACACAAATAAAATTTCACGTTGATCCTTGTCATCGACGAAAGCGTTTACTGAAAAATATATAGATTCTCGATATCCACAACGTTTAACAGGGAGGAGACTGTGCACCCTTGTAAGTAGTATAGTCATTTCTGTCGTACACGTTCCCGTGTAATTTCTGATTCTGTTCGAATATGGTACTGGACATCACATTTCCTCGGTCGAAGCGTTTCATTATTCAATTCACGATTAGTTTGCGTACGATGGCTGGTAACCGTTACGTTCGTTTCCTCAACGTCCCTGAAAACTTTTTCAGTCGGAACCACAACGTAACGCAATTAGCTAGTTTCGCTTCTACGTATTTACACAAATCTTCTTTCTCACTGACTGATTGTAGTTCATATTATCGTACATTCGTATATTCTTCAAAACTTTGCGAAGAGATTAAATCGCACGAACACAAAGTTATCTTTCGCTTAAAATTGCATTGATTAAAAAAGACGACAGTGCTATACAATAATAAAATGAACGTTTAAAATACTGTTACTGTACACGACCTATTAAATAACTTTGCGAACTGTTTATTCTGCTGACACAGCTATTTATGTCGCTCGATCAACCCTCGTCCACCCATTGTGTCAGCCCGACACATTTCCACTGCTTTTAAAAAAGCACTCCGCCATATTTTCTAATCCTAAACAACGTAAAATCATTCCATTGCAATCTAGTCCGATCTCGCAATCGTTCATTCGATCTAGCAATTCATCATTTCCCCATCCCATCGACTTCATTACCATTGCGTCAATTTGTAGGGGCTAAATTGAGACGGACAGACGATAGACGTATTCAGGTTAATAACGACAACTATCGCGTCCAATGCATCTAATCGGCTTCCCTCTGTGAATCGTATTAAAAAAAAAGTGAACTTCGAAATTTTCTGCGACTCGTCAGGAAGCTCGGCACGCTTGCGCCGCATCGATCCGTAATTGGCGGTTTCGCCCTTCCGCATAGAACAGCAGTGTGGCGAGCACAGGTTCAATGAATCTATCGCGTACGGAATATGGAAGAGCGTTTCCTTGACCACGACAATCGAAAAATCGAAAAACGCGTCCCGTGTAAACAGGAGAACGATGCGTTGTTCAGGTCGAAGGCTGCTAGCGTGGCTTGGAGTAGCGGTTCCTCTGGTTCTGGTTGGACGTTTGCTAGTGAATCGAGGTTATCGTTCGCCGATCCCGGAGATCGATAACGACGACGACGATGAAAACAATAACAATCACAACATCGACATCGTGGCGTTGTCGAAGCAAAGTACGACGACGAGCCGTCGCAAGGAAACGGTGACCAGGCCACCGGCGTTCGTAGCAGGCATGTACATGGCGGGTCAACAACCCAGGAACAATTCTTGCAGATGGTACCACGGTCTGCCAGACGTTATTACGTATCCGTCGTCGAAAGTCACCTGGAGCCCGGAAATCGGTGAGAAGAGCCCCTACAGAGTCCTACCGTTTGTATTAGTCGGAACCGAGGAGAGGAACAAGTTGCCCCAGGTGACCCTCTGCACGCACGCCACTGCAGATCATGTCTATGGGATCGTGGAGTTGGTCAGGAGATGGGAGGGACCATTGAGTCTGGCCATTTTTACACCTGGCCTCGACGCTGGTACCGCCGTTGCTCTCCTCGATCGGGCCTGTCGATGCGAACCCGAAATGTACAAGGTTTCCCCATGCACTCGCTGTCAGAACGGGTCGCTAGAACGCATGATTATAATACCAACGCTAACGTAACAGATCCTCCTGATCACAACTGTCGCGCGGGCATCGTCCAAAAAGTAACACTGTCTCCAAGTTGCGCCAACGACAAGCTCCTTTTATTCGGAACTCTTGTACACGAGTTCTAAATCAAAACTGTATAGTTGAATAATATATTTTAACCTGTTTGTCAATCAACCCTCAGCTGGCAATCCGGATTTTCACCGTTGTGTATAGCTCTGGTATAGTAGAACCTTGGTTATCCGAGCTAAACATGAGGACATGTGTAATCGTTCGGATAATAGAACAGTTATTAAGGTACGGTGATAGATCAAATTCTTGGATTGTGTTATTTACTTTTGAAACGTGTTGCGATTTCAGATATCAGAGATTCGGATAATCGGGGTCTACTGTGTTTTCATTTGCTGGCCCGAGTTCTCATTGTTTTCGACTGAAAAAATTCTGCGATTAGATGAGATTTATATCGATATATGAGAGCAGCTGGGCGATGATTCACAGAGACAGATTTCATTGTTTTTGGTGTTACTTTCTGAACGATCCTCGTAATTCCGTTGCACCATAAGACACGGCTAATTTGTCCGATAACCAGCGCGTACAATAGTGTCTTAATACGAGGTCCGTGTACAATCTACGAATGTATATAAAACTCGCACATTTTTTGTATGCAAATCTTACAAGTACGTTTTGTCCGACCACGGGACTATTTTTTTCAATTTTGTTACGATTACAGGCGCACAAACAGCTTCATTTAAGGACGTAGCAACGCTGCATTCGAATCCGGCTTCTTGAACTTAAATCGGGACAATAGTGCGTTTCACGATGTTTGTCAAATGTTTATTGCATAGACCGGGTTTGGGCATTGTTCGATATAATTTGGGGAATAAAGATCGACGCAACCCTGGCAAAGGATATTCGATCGAATCTATAATTATAATTAGATTGCGGATTTTCATGCGACCACAGGAATATGTACACAGGGAAAAATTTATTTTGCTGACTAGAATATTTTTGCAGTAAAATCGGAGTTAAAACTGTTTATTTTTGCTGGAACTCACAACTTTTTGCTTTCTTCAATCTGCACTTGCTTTATATGCATATAGATTCGCTGTCTAATCATAATTATTCAGATACGTATAGTTCGAAGTAATTCTGAAATAATAATCGTCGAAATAAGTCTTTCAACAATTATACTTACAATTTTGATCTCATATTTTCTGCCAGGAATAGTATATTTTATTGTGATACCAAATTATACGCTTTCTAAGTTTACATTTTAAATGATTGATGATTGGTGAAATTTTTTGCTTTATCTTTTTATTTATATATATATTTTTATAAAATAACAGTTAATCTTATCGCAAACTTTGATGTCAGACTATTCGATACTTTATCCAAATGACAAGCAATTATTTGAATTCCGTGCGAAATAAACTCACTTGCTCTATACTATTTCTAAAATCATGTTCTAACGATTCATTAGCTTTAATTTCATCTCCACCAAAATGTGTCCAAGCCTGGGGTAGACCTAGGTGTATTGACATAGATAGACACTAGCAATTAACGATTACGGGAATCGATGATCTAAGTAAGACGGCGATATGCAAGTGAAACATTCGGTTAATCGCCATGCTAATCCGTGTCCTTTTATAGGTATCCGTGCATCTGGTGTTCCCGACGAGTCGTCCACCCACGCTGGGCCAAAGTACTCTTGCCCAGGGTGATTGCGCGGCGTCCGACCTCCAAAGAGGCGCAGCCGAAACCGAGAGGAAACGGATAGGCATGAGTTATCCCATTAACGTGGTTAGAAATGTCGCGAGAATGCAGGCGAATACCAGCCGGGTGCTGGTGACGGACATTGAACTTTTGCCGAGCGAGAAACTGGCATCCAGTTTCATGGAAATGGTGCGCGGAAAGTCGCCGAAAAAAGGAATTGTCTTCGTTCTGCCAGTTTTTGAGATCGAATCACGTAGACAGCCGCCTTCGACGAAAAAGCAGCTGCTGTTAGCTACCAAGGCTGGCACAGCCGTATATTTTCATAGGTTTGTGCGACGTATTGCGACATTTGATTTCTTCGTATGAATGTATGTACTGTGCTGGATCGATTTCAGTTCTCTGCGCAACGGAGAGTCATGAGTTCGATCATGAGTCGAACGCACTATGTGCAACGATGGTGCAACAATGCAATTTTATATGCACACAGCATTCACAGAATTTCAATTGCTTTGCTTTGTTTTATATTCTATTGAATGTAGTAGAATGTTCTGTGAAAAGCTTATGCGATGTTCATGTTTTGTAGATTTCTCTGCTCACATTGCCAAAGATTTCCTGGTCTTACTAGATGGATGCTTAGACCAGATCCAGGCAAAGTCAGACCACTTATTATTACCAAAAGGGAGTACCCTCATCATAGGTGGGAGCCAGTTTTTATCGGAACTCGCGACGATCCTTTTTATACCGAAGATATGTCTTGGGAAGGCAGACAAGATAAAATGACGCAGGTGAACTGTCGATTTTTTGATAAACTAAATCTTCGAGGAGATAACCGGTTGATAGAATAAACACAACATTAATGCTTTAGATTGCGTTAGTGAATTATGTGAGCAATATTCAATACCGAAATAGAAAATTATTGGAATCAGAAATATATCGAACTACAAGAAACTTTTAAGTAACACAGAATTTGTGGATGTTTTAAGAAACAGGATGGCTTGTTTAAATATTTCCTACGCAACTGAAACTAATATTTCTAATTTGTTTTATTCAGATGTTCGAGATGTGTCTTCTCAATTATCGCCTGGTCATACTAGACGGTGCCTTTTTAGTTCATACACCAGGTATCAAACGGAAAACTGTAAAAGTTGACGTAGCGAAGCAAGAATTCTTGAAACCGCACGAAAGGAGAAACGCTCGAGTCTATCAGCGTGTAATTAAACAATTATTGAAACAGTATCCCCCTAATCACAAGTGCTTGCACTGATATACAGATTTAATCGGAGATAAACATTGGTGGGTCAATCGAAGTTACTTTGATACTGGATACAGAATAGTTTTTTAATGCCTAATATACAAAAGTTATCACACAGTTTTATTAATATCATTATTTTTACAAAATACATATGGAACATAATATATTTTAATTCGGTAATAAAAACGGATTCCTATTAGATAGGAAATAAATTGAAAGGATACGCTTACACAAACATATGTAATTTAAATGTAAAGTATGATAAGTAAATAATAAATGATTACTACGAACACACCAATGAAATTCGCCTGGATATTGTTTACATTTATGTATCTGAAGAAATTGATGTGTACAAAAATTTAATTACATTTATTATGACATTATATTTGTTTAATACAAATAATAAATTATTAACAAATGATTACCTAATATTTAATTAATAAGAAAACGATTCAATTTCATACAATATC